GAAGATGAAGAAGAATGCAAAGCAGCCATGGCCACGAGCTCCAATCTGATCCCTCTTCTTGGAGCTTCAAGCTTCGACCCCAATCTTCTCTCCACTCTCTCTCAACAAGATTCTAACTAACAAAACAGAAAAATGAGCAAGCAGATTCCAGTTTCGCGCTTCAATCAGGTATTTATAGAAACTCAGTTCTGCGCGTTGTCACTTTTCTTCACAAGAGTAACCACGCAGAAGCTTTATGTAGTGTGCGTGTTCACTTTCAAGAGCAAGAGTAACCACGCGCAACTTGCAGAGTTGAAGGCTTCTCTGGAACATTCACTTTTGTTCATAATAGTGGCAACGCAGGAGGTCAAGGGCTGCGCGTGATCACTTTCGTGAGTAATAGTAACCATGCGCAAGCTGTCCTGATACAAGTGCCTCTGGAACGCTCACTTTCGTTGGCGAAAGTGACAACGCGCAGCTCATCAGGAATGAAGTCTCTCTGGAACGTTCACTTTCGCTAACAATAGTGATCACGCCCAGGCTGCAACCCATAATTCTTGTATTTTGGAGTCCAGCATTGCCATTCTTCCTCTTCCTTCCCATTGATTCTCCATTTCCATGACTTTTGCTCAGCTTATTCCTTCAAAACAAGATAAATTCCTTAAGAACTAAGCATAAATTCTACAAATGCGAAAATAACTACAAATTGAATTAAAACTTTCAATCATTCTCTTTTTCTGAGTTTTTCTGCTTTCTTCATATATTTTTCTTATTAAATGAGCTAGAATTATGCTAAAATATCAGTAAAAATATGGATTCATCAGTGCCGTATATTTGATTGAATATTTTGAAAATGTGGGCCCAAGAACCGTGTAATATGAACGATAATTGTAGGCTAAGTGTCGTGTGCTGTGAAATGGAATGTGGGTTGTGTACCGTGTGTAAGCATGATTACTGCATGCGTGAATAGAATATATGTGAGTGGGCATGTTAGCGCTGTTGTAATGTGCTGTGAATGGTTCAGCGATACACTGGGGGTGTGCAAGATAAGGACGGTAGAAATACCTTCGGGAAAAGGGAGTGGTGGTGACACCGACTATGGAACGGGTGCACCACGGGCCACTCACTCTCTTCTTGACTAGACCTCTGACCACTATCTTTGCTGAGCGACCCATGACTGCCCAAGTGGTATCCGTGAGGCGGGGGTAACTGGCGACCATTCATAGTGAAAATCTGTGATTACAGTGCCACAGTGGATGTGGTTGGCATACGTGCGCATGGGATTATTGTTAGTTGTATTTTTTTGAATGTGAAATGCTATTGGTGCCGTGAGTGCATTGATATTGAATGATAATGTTCTTTGTGTTTGTTTCTGCATAAATGTATTGAATTTGATTTGGAGGTGAGACTCCATGCCCAGTTGTGTGTTTTGGTAGTATAGAGTACTCACCCTTACATTCATTTTTCAGGTAACCAAGATGATCAGCACCGGACTCAGTGAAAGGGGTGGATGGAACTGCTATGGGACTAGGATATGAATTTGAAAATAATGTATTTAAAAGGGTCTTGTAGTAGTGTTTTGATGAAGATTGTAACCCCTTTTTCTTATTTTGAAATATTTGATGAAACCATGGGTTGAGAACTTTATTTAAAATGAAACTTTTATTATCCCAAATTTGCAAAATTATTATTTAATGAATATTGAAAATAAGGTGTTACAATTTTGGTATCAAAGCAGTTCATCCAAACCGGACTGGAGTATCGGGCTGAAGTGTCCAAGATAAGTGTTGATTGTTTTGTTTGCTTGAATTATAATGTATAAATTGACCTAATGTGCTGGAATGTGATTGTTGACTTGTTGTAGCTAGATTGAATATGTCTGGTAGAGGTAGAGGAGCTAGAGGCACCAATGACCTCATGGACCGCATGGCTCAGATTTTGGAAGCCATGGTGCATAATCAAGGTGGAGAGTCAGCTGAGTATCGAGGGTAATCTTCCTCACTAGGCATGATCCTCCAAGGTTTGAGGGTGGATTCAATCTCGAAGGAGCCCGAGGGTGGGTGGCCGATGTGGAGAAGATCTTCAATGCTATGGGGTGCCGTGAGGAGAACAAGGTTACCTATGCCACCTACTTGCTGTGTGGGGAGGCTGGGGATTGGTGGAGGTTTGTCGGTTAGACTTTGCCACAAGAAGATGGCTATATCCAGTGGGAAGCATTCAAGACCATTTTCCTAGGGAACTACTTTCCCCGGGACCTAAGGAAGCAAAAAGCTAGGCAGTTCCTTGAACTGAAGCAAGGAAGTATGATTGTGGGAGAATATACAGCTAAGTTCCAGGAGCTGATGAAGTACTGGCCTCATTATCAGCATGGTGATGGAGAGGAGGATCTGTGTGCTCAATTTGAGCATAGATTGAGGCCAGACATCCGGGCTGTGGTTGATAAATCCACATTTTACCATAATTTTTAGTATAATTTTGTTAATAAATAAGTAGAAAGTGCTAAGTAAACTTGAAAATATCATAAAAATTGCATTAATATTCATAATTGTGTAAATAGTTTTGATTTTTAGATTTTTAGTCCCATTCTGAACAATTTGACTTAAAAGTGACTTAATCCTTGTGCAGAAGCTTGAGCTGAGAATTTGAGTTGAAGATTGAAGTGAAGAAAGTAGAGAAATTGAGCTTAAATGATGAAGAATCAAGTGTTATATGAAGGGCGTAATCACTCTGAGTACATAGAGTAAACACTTTGAAGAAGAAAATTCATAAAAATCAAGAGAGTAGAGAGTAGCTACACAATTGAGCGCATAGCCACTTCAAGTGCCTAGAGTAGCTACGCAATGCGCGTAGCCACTTTAAGCGTTCAGAGTAGCTATGCCTAAGGCCAATTCAGAACTGCACAGTGCGCGTAGCTACTTCAAGTGATCAGAGTAGCTACGCAATTGAGCGCGTAGCTATTTCAAGTGTCCAAAGTAGCTACGCAGTCAACGCGTAGCCACTTCAAGTGCTTAGAGTAGCTACACAAAAATAACATAATTTTAAATATCACTTCTAAGTGTCAACTTTGGACGATTTGAGTTCTTAAATCAGTTTTAGAAGCTTCTAGAAGACCTTTGATGCTAGAATTCTCAGAGATTAACATGTAGAAAGGAAAAAGGCGAGAAAAACATATAAATAGAAGTTAGAGATTCAGAAAATGGGACTTCTGGTTCATTTTTGTTATTTTTCACTTTGTAACTGTTTTAACTTCCAAGGGAAGTCAGAGAGAGAGATTGGGAGTGACTTTCAAGCTTCATTTCTAAAGGAATCAGAGTGAAGATTGGGTCTTGGAAGATGTTCTTCTGCTTCTTGTCTTCTTCTTCTTCTCTTACTTCTCCTTTCTCCATTGTAGTGTTGTTCTAAAGCTTTTTGGTTAGGGATCTATGGATCCAGATTTGATGTTGTGATGTAATTGTGGATTGAATCTTGAGATTTTAATTGAATTGAGTATGTGATTCTGTTCTTAATGCAGTTGTGAACTAATCCTTCATTCAATTAAATTTAGAGGAATTTTCATCAATGGAAATTGAGTTTATTTCTCATATCTGAATCATATGCCTAGGTTATTAAGATCTTAGGAATAAGTATCATGATCTAGTAATCCTATAATTTCTAGAACTTGCAATATTTGATTGAATTTCACCTAAGGAATTAAGGAGGTTTAATTAAGTATTAGGATCAATGAGGCAAGGAATTGTCCTTTGGTTAAAGAAGTAAAATTGATTATCAATCAATTAAAATTCTCAAGAGTTCAGAACATGATTACATTGCGATTGAAAATCTGGTGAACTGATTCCTAACTATTTTCCATTAGCATTCTTAATACAAAATTCATATTCTATTTTTACAGCAAGTTTATTACCTTTTATTGTTTTTATTTCTTACTTTTACATGTTACAAACCTCTCAAATGAATTGTTTTGCTCAACTAATTGTTAAATTGTGAAATGGTAATTGAAATAAGATCCCTGTGGACGATACTTAGAGCTCATATTGAATTTCAAATTTTATTACTTGTTACAACTACCTAGTACACTTGCTAGTTAGTTCTTTAATTTTGTAACAAGTTTTTGGCGCGTTGTCGGGGATCTTTATTTTCAATATCATTAGTAGCAAGGAGACAACTAGATTGAGCTATTTTTCTCTGTTTTCTTTTTGAAAATTTTATTTTTTATACACTGAATTTCGTATTACATTTTCTGCTAGTTTTCCTGTACACCTTTGCTGTCCAGTTTTGTATAATTTTTGTGTCACTGTCTTTTGTGTAGTTATATGTTTAGATGTTATGTTTCTTAAAATTTCATAGGATATTTTGCTAGTAAATTTTCTGCACTATATTGTTCTGTATTTTCATCATTTTTCTTTTAGTGTTTCTACTATGCTCAGTTTTACTTAGTGTTATATGCATGTGAAAAATAAAAGCAAGACTGCTCTTGTGTTTGATCCAGACATAGACAGAACATTGAGGAGGCTGAGAAACGAATTAAGAGCAGAAAATTCAGCAAGGAAAGAGTAAGAATTGGAATCTACACCTTCTACTCCTAAATCGGAAGAACTTCAAATTCCTTCTCCTACACCACCAACACCTCAAGAGAAGATAATGGCTGAACAGAACATGATGAGAACTTTAGGGGATTATGCAGTGCTTAACATGCATGGATACAACTCCTCTATAGTCAGACCTACGATACAAGCCAACCATTTTTAAATAAAACCAGCTTTACTTCATTTAGTTCAGCAAGATCAATTTTCTGGTTCAATTTCGGATGATCCTAACTTACATATCTCTAACTTTTGCAGCTTTGTGATACAATAAGGATGAATGGAGTTAGCGAGGATGCAACTAGATTAAGACTATTTCCATTTTCATTAAGAGATAAAGCTAAATGTTGGCTGCAAGCTCAACTACAAGGAAGCATCACCACTTGGGCAAACCTTGTTAATAAATTTCTTACCAAGTATTTTTCACCATCTAAAGCTGCCAAACTAAGAGGAGAAATTACATCATTCATGCAGCAAGAGGGGGAATCTTTATATGAAGCTTGGGAGAGGTATAAAGAATTATTGAGGCAATGTCCACACCATTGCATACCAGAATAGATGCAGCTAGAAACTTTCTATAATGGAATGAGTCTAGCCACTAGAACCATGATTGATGCAGTTGCGGGAGGATTATTGAATACTAAGTCATTGGAAGAAGCTCAACGAATTATAGAGATGATGGCTTTATCTATGTATCAAAATTCTAATTCTAGACACTTTACAAGGAGTGGAGGATATGAAGCCAAAATTCTTAAGACTTTTCTTGCACAAAACTAGCTGCAAAGTCAAATGTTTTCAGAACAAATTGCTGCACTAACTCAGCAAATAAGCAACTTACAGGCCGCTCTAATTCAGAATACTCAACTTGTGATTTTTGTGAAGGAAATCATGCTAATGGAGCATGTGATGCATCTACCAATGAACCTCGAGCAAATCAATTATATGGGAATTTTTCAGAGACAACAACCCTCATTCCCACCTGATTTTTAGTATCCTAATAGCATAAATCAGCAGTACTCTAATTGGAATACTCAATATTTTGCTGCAAATAATTTTAATTCTGCTTTACCTTTTTCTGGTGTAGGTCTAACAGTACAACAATCCTATTTTCAAGGGAATCCAGCCACTCAACCTCAAAGGAATCAAAAATTCTCCAAGCCTATGACTGAAAGGTTGAATGAAATGGAGGAAACCATGCTGCAATTTATGAAAGTAACCCAAACAAGCTTCAAGAATCAAGAATCTTCTATGAAGAAGCTTGAAACTCAAATTGGACAGCTGGCTGAACAATTATCCAGTAGAGAAGAGGGGAGATTTCCTAGCAATACAGTTGTTAATCCAAAAGAACAATGTCAAGCTGTAATGACTAGGAGTGGAGCTGTTGTGGGGAGTCCCAGACCTATCGAAAAAAGAGAAAATAATCCTGTTGCAGAGGAGAAATTAAAATCTGATCTAGATGAAGGAAATTTTATCTTGCTGAAAAGAGAAAATTCAGAAAAAGAGAGTTCTCCAAAGGCTGTAAGAAAGACAAAGAGGCAAATACTTGAGGAAGCTAATCAACCTATTGATAAGGAGAAATACAAGAGACTTCCTTACCCTCAAAGAATGCCCAATCTAAAATAAGAAAAACAATTTGAGAGGTTTCTAGATGTCTTCAAGAAACTTCAAATAAATATTCCTTTTGCTGAAGCACTTGAGCAAATGCCTTCCTATGCTAAATTCATGAAGGAACTGTTATCTAAGAAAAGAAAACTTGAGAATGATAAAACAGTCCCTTTGACTGAAGAATGCAGTGCTATTTTACAAAGGAAGCTCCCTCAAAAATTAAAGGATCTAGGTTCTTTTAGCATTCCATGTTCTATTGGAAATTGCACCGTGGGGAAAGCTTTATGTGATCTTGGGGCCAACATCAATCTCATGCCTCTTGCTATCATGAAGAGACTTGGAATAGAAGAAGTTAAGCCTACTAGCATAACCTTACAACTTGCGGACAAATCTTACACATATCCCTATGGTGTTGTAGAGGATTTGCTAGTTAAGATTGACAAATTTATTTTTCTTGTAGATTTTGTAATTTTGGACATGGAAGTGGATGCCGACATTCCTTTAATTTTGGGCAGACCATTCTTAGCTACAGGGAGAGCTTTAAGTGATGTTCAAAAGGGAGAACTTATGTTGAGAGTGCAGGATGAAAAGGTTATTTTTAATGTATTTGAGGCACTCAAACATCCCAATGATGATGTTACTTGTATAAGGGTTGATATTCTAGATTCTATTACTTTCCCTCATTTTATTGATAATGCTGACGAAATCTCATTATTAAAGGAAACAATAGTTGCAAGGAATCATTCTACTGCTGTAAAAAAAGAAGAACAATTGAGAGAATATGTGCAGCAGCTGGACACCTTGCCAATTGTCCCTTTTTCGGAAAATCCAACAAAGGAAGAACTGAAAAATGAAATGAAGGGAGAGAAGACTAAGAAACTAGAGCTGAAACATTTACCTTCTCACTTGAGACACTCTTTCTTAGACCAAGAACATGAAAATCCGGTAATTATTAGCAATGATCTCAAGGGAGAAGAAGAAGAGAAATTGTTAAGAATTTTAAGAGCCCATAAGTCTGTAATCGGTTGGCATATTTCAGACTTAAAGGGGATCAATCCAGCTTTTTACAAGCATAGAATTATGTTTGAAGAACATTTTAAACTGGTAGTACAGCCACAAAGAAGACTAAACTCAGCCATGAAAGAAGTAGTGAGAAAAGAAGTAATGAAGCTGCTGGATGCAAGGATTATTTACCCAATTTTGGACAACAAATGGGTTAGTCCAGTCCAAGTTGTCCCTAAAAAAGGATGGATGATAGTTGTGCCTAATGAAAAGAATGAATTAATTCCTACTAGGACTATAACGGGCTGACGCATGTGTATCGACATAGAAAATTAAATGATGCAACTATAAAAGATCACTTTCCATTGCCATTTGCTGATCAAATGTTGGAAAGACTAGATGGACATGCATATTATTGTTTTCTTGATGGATATTCCAGCTACAATCAAATAGTGGTGGACCCTATGGATCAAGAGAAGACTGCATTTACATGCCCATTTGGAGTTTTTGCATATAGAAGAATGTCATTTGGATAGTGCAACGCTCTCGCTACTTTTCAAAGGTGTATGCTGTCCATTTTTTCTAATTTAGTAGAGAAAATTATTGAAGTGTTTATGGATGATTTCTCTGTTTTTGGCAATTCTTTTGATAATTGTTTAGCTAATTTGTCCACTGTTTTACAGAGATGTCAAGATACTAACCTTGTTTTAAATTAGAAAAAGTGTCATTTCATGGTCCAAGAGGGAATAGTCCTTGGCCATAGAATTTTGGAAAAAGGAATGGAGGTGGATCAAGCAAAAATAGAAGTTATTAGTAAACTACCTACACCAATTAATGTTAAGGGAGTTAGGAGTTTCTTGGGTCATGCAGGTTTTTATAGAAGGTTTATTAAGGATTTTTCAAAAATTGCAAAATCTCTTAGTGATTTACTTGTTAAAAATGCTGACTTTGTATTTGATGATTCTTGTTTGCATGCATTTTCTGTTTTGAAAGAAAAACTTATCTCTGCACCTATTCTTGCAAAACCTAATTGGAATTTACCTTTTGAATTAATGTGTGATGCAAGTGATAGTGCAGTAGGTGCTGTTTTAGGATAAAAAAGGATAGGAAATTGCATGTCATTTACTATTCCAGTGAAGTCTTAAATTCTGCACAAGTAAATTACACAACTACTGAAAAGGAATTCCTTGCTATTGTGTTTGCTTTTGATAAATTTATATCATATTTGATGGGATCCAAAGTCATAGTCTATACTGACCATTCTGCACTTAAATATTTGTTGTCCAAACAAGATACTAAGCCAAGATTATTGAGATGGATTCTGCTACTGCAGGAGTTTGAATTGGAAATTAGAGATAAAAAGGGAAAGGAAAATGGGGTAGCTGATCATCTGTCCAGGCTTCCATTGGACAATTTAACCCCTAATTCCTTGGACATTAATGAAGAATTTCCAGATGAAAGACTACTTGATGTGGAAGATCTACCTTGGTTTGCTGATATTGCAAACTTCAAGGCCACTCAACTCATTCTAAGGAAATTTACTTGGCAACGAAGAAAGAAATTTTTACATGACAGCAAATTTTATATGTAGGAAGACCCTTATCTGTTTAAAATTGGGGTGGATGGTCTACTTAGAAGATGTATCCCACAAAATGAACAAGATGAAATATTATGGCATTGTCATAATTCAGATTATGGAGGCCACCATAAGAGTTCAAGAACTGCTACAAAAGTTTTGCAAGCAGGATTTTTCTGGCCTACACTCTTTAAAGATGCCAAAAATTATGTTGAGAGTTGTGATAAGTGCCAAAGGACAGGCAACATATCTAGGAAACATGAGCTGCCTTTGACAAATATTTTAGAAGTGGAGTTATTTGATGTATGGGGGATTGATTTCATGGGACCTTTTCCCACATCTTTCTTTCATGAATATATTCTTGTGGTAGTTGATTATGTTTCTAAGTGGGTGGAAGTCATACCAACAAGGACAAATGAAGCCAAGGTGGTAATTTTTTTATAAAAAGGAATATCTTTGCTAGATTTGGAGTGCCTAGATTTTTAATAAGTGATTGAGGTGCTCATTTCTGCAACAAGTATCTTGAATCAGTTTTAGCAAAGTATAATATAAAACACAAGGTTGCTACTCCATATCATCCACAAACAAGTGGACAGGTTGAAGTGTCAAATAGAGAAATTAAACAAATTCTGGAAAAAGTGGTGAATAATTCAAGAAAGGATTGGTCAAAGAAGTTAAATGACTTTTTGTGGGCATATAGAACTGCCTTTAAGACTCCAATTGGCATGTCACCTTACCAATTAGTCTTTGGAAAGGCATGTCATTTACCTTTGGAGCTGGAACATAAAGCATATTGGGCCACTAAATGGCTGAATTTTGACTTGACCAATGCTGGAGAAAAGAGTATTTTACAGCTACATGAGTTGGACGAATTTAGGCAACAGGCCTATGAAAATGCCAAACTATACAAAGAAAGAACCAAGAGGATCCATGATAAATTCATTCTGAAAAGAGAGCTCAGGCCTGGACAACAAGTTTTATTGTTTAATTCAAGACTGAAATTATTTCCAGGAAAGCTAAGATCAAGGTGGTCTAGACCTTTTCTAATCAAAGAAGTATCTCTCTTTGCAGCAATTTTAATTGAGGATCAGAAAATAGGGAGAGAATTCAAAGTCAATGGCCAAAGGTTGAAGGTTTATCATGGAGAGGCATTCACAAAGAACATCTCTTGTGTTAAGTTGATTTCTCTTGAATGAGAAATATGAGGCGTCAAGCTAGTGACATTAAAAGAGCGCTTGTAAGAGGCAACTCACATTTCTAACCCTTTACTTTTGTTAGAATCTAGTTTAGGAATTTTTACTTTTAGTTATTTTTGAATTTTAAAAATTTTTCATTTTATGAATTTTTAGTTGAAAGTAATGGTGG